CGTCACAGCTCTCTCGGTGCTCGGTGATTTTTGGCAAGATCGTTTCGCGCATTTAGAGGACGACATTAGCCGGCTTTTCGGGTAACGATCGCGGTGGCAGCGCGGCGGCGGAGCTGGCTGCCGGGAGACGCCCCGCGCCGCCACACAGAGACGCGTTCTCGACGAGAGAGCGGTGGTTGCACGGGTGGTGTGTGGACGAGCCGGCGGCGAGGATGGTTGTTCGACCGGCGACGTTGGCGTTCCTAGGGATCGTTCGATCGGCTCTGCTGGCGTGCACGTGGTGGAAAGAAGCGGTGGTAGGCAGCGAAGGGTAGGTTGAACGGGGACACGCCGTGGAAGGCGTAGAGGAAGGTAAGCAGGCAGCAAGATGCCGGACAGAGAGGCGACAGATATACTGCGCACGTGGCGCAGAGCGGCGATTCGGCTGCGCGCCAGCCCGAATCCCTGCGACCCAGGGCGGTGCGACCGGCGCACTCGAGCTGCTGCGATTCTTAGCCGGCCGCCAATTTCATCCCCCTACCTTCTCCTCCCTCTCCGCGCCCTCTCCAAGCCCTCTCCGCTCCCTCTTCCTTTGCCCTCTACCCTTTCTTCCGCTCGAATATATTCCTCTCGACCGTTCTCGGTTTAACGTTAACCTCTATTCGGGCTGCGCCTCGTACCGCGTGGGAGCCGCTTCAAGGATGAATCAGGACTGGAGCACGATAACGCGTACCTTCCAGCCAATTCCCACTTATTACCCCTCGCGTTTTTGCATCTTCCGCGATTTCTCCACGGTTCACCGATCGCTCGTTTTTTCCTCCTTCCTCTCCTACCCTTTCCAGCTTTTCCAACCTTTTCCAACCTCCAACTGGATCTTCTTTCGTAATTGCACCGGTACCGATACGCGATGCACTCCATTCCCGTTTTCGGAGTTTGATTTTCGCTCGTAAACCGTACGCCTGCGCCGATTAGTTGCGGTACCTGTCGGACGATATCGCCTTGTTTTGCCAGCATCGAGGCTAGCAACTTTCTCGTCGCGTGCCGACCCGATTGGTTAAAAGCGCGATCGAGCGCGTCGCTGTGACCAGTACCCCCGTTACGCTCGGGGTTGGGAAAACGTTTTGCTGTAACGAACACGTAGAAATAAAGGGAAACAGAGTGGAATGCGGCTGACTAAACGACTCCTGACAGGGTTAACGCGAGGATCATGCACAGCGATACAACGATTTTCAAGGAGATCCGTTATAGCGCGGCGGCACGTCTTCTCATATTGATTTCCCGAAAGATATTAATAACTCTCGAGAAGTATCGTCGATAACTGATGAGCCATAATAAACTTTTAAGTGCCGTCCCAGTTGCTACGAATAGACACTAATCTCTATGCTTCTCGACGTTGGCACGCTTCTCCGTCAACTCGAACGTCAACTCAGGCGCGAGAGGACGTTTACTTTTTCCCATTCCAGGATAATCGTTCGTTCAACGATTCTCTACGCGATCGCGAATTCGAATGGTCGAAACGATCGCGGCGAATCTCTTGCAGCGTCCGATGTGGGGCACGCGCGTATTTATACCCCCTGTGAAGACGTCAAAAATGCCCTTTCGTCACGACCGCTCCCTCGTTAGTCCGCGATCCGGAATCGAAGGCCAATTATTTTCGCGAGCACCTTCGTCTTCCGTCGTCTTCGCGAATATTCGCGAACGTTCGCTCCTTTCAGGCTATTCTCCTTCGCCAATTTTTCTAAAGCCTTCCAGCGAGCCCTCCGCGAATCCGTCCGTTCAATTAGCAAGAATTAAGCGAGGTATTCCTAGAGCTCTTATTCTCCCTCTTCCTTTCGGCAAACTCTTCGCGAGCCTCCGCATTAAGAAGCTCGAAGCTCGTCGTAAAAGGGCGAGCAGGAACGAGACGATCAATCGGAGTAATTGCGTTTGGTCTGACCATACGCCGGCTCGCTCCACTGAAACGCGACGCGCGAGGATCCAGACCTACCGCGCGTCTTCTCGCGCAAACGTTTCGGGGTTCGTTGATCCATGGCGACCAGTCTGCCAACAATTCTCGCCCCCCTCCCGAAGAAAGAATCGAACGGCGAATATTCACGCGACGAACCTCGCGCGCGCGGCCGAGTGTGCGCGAACGTAAAGACGAAAGCAGAGAGAAAGAGAAAAAGAGAGAGAGAGAGAGGGGGGTAGAGAAAAGGGGAGTGGAGAGGAGAAGAAGAGAGCCCTCGTATTAATTACCGCGAATAAAAAACACGGACGGCCGGCGACACGAGGGTTTGGCACGGATCTCGTTGCCGTGGATCGTCACTCGGTAACCCGTAAAAAGTCCTTTTGGACGTGGTTGCCTCGCGTGAATCGCGATTAACCTTCGCCACGCTCTTTTGCCTAGAATTTCTAGCTCGACGACGCGAAATTAATTTTCCTCTCCTCGCTTCCAGAGTATGGTGTTGCTCTGTCTAATTCGCGGAGGGACCAAGGGGTGACCTCGACGATCGTCTCTGTCATCGGTCGCAGAGTATTCGCTGACGAATCTCCATTGCGGAGTAGAGCACTCGTCGATCACTCGTCGATCACTCGTCGATCACTCGTCGATCACTCGTCGACGTTCGGGTTCTGCGTTCTGCTCGATTGTCCTTAAGAGACCGGCAGAGATGATCGACCGGGCCAGGTCCTGGGAGATTAAATTTCGAAAGTCTGCGACCGTGCGTAATCAGCGATAGGTTGCACCTGTTGCTGGCATAACAATCATCGAGGCGGCTAGGCGAGTATCGTTAAGCGATGCGCTTCGTGCTTCCGCAGTCGAGCCGGTCGGAGGCAGTTTCCGCCTCATTTTCGGGAGTACTATCGATCTTTCCGTTACCGGGCACGCTCCATCAATTATTCCTTCGATTTTAATAATTCAGAGACGTTCAGTCGAGCCAGAGAGGTGAACGGATGGGTAATCTGGCGGGTCTAGTCGGTTCCTCGTGCACCGCGCTTTTCGCGACGACGACTTTGAAAAATTCCAGCTACCTGTCTTCAAATAACTGCCGGAATATCGCGAGATAATTAAAACGTAACGACTGTCGCAAAGACCAGACGACACCGCGGTGTCGCGTCTGACGTATGGGCTTAAATCGCCGGTAATTGGCCGACAGGATCGTTTGAATTACGTGCAAAGGATTCGCAGTGGCTTGCGCGCAGCCAAGGACGAGGCCTTCCTCGGAGGCGAAAGAAATTCCCCGCCTGCTTTCGGTACTTTCGACATCTTTGATACGAAGATAGCCAAACAAATTAGAGGCTCGGTGGAATCCCGTACCTTGACATTTGCCGGGGAGAAAGGATGAAAAGGGATCGGAGGGCGGGCACGGGTCGAAGGGACGCGTCGGACGAGTCAATTGGAAGCGTCGGGCAGGAGGTATTAATCTTCGCGCGAGTGGAGCTATTCGCGGAGGAACCGTGGGACGAGGATTTCGGGACGGGGCTGTGCCGATCGAGATCGAGGGAGCGCGTCGATCTCGGAAGCGGAGAGGAGACGCCGAGGTCACTGCGGATCGCGAAAAACTTGGGCCGGATGCCAGTCCGCGAGCGGTTTCTAGTCGTCGCGACTAGTCGCCGTCCGTAATGCGGTCGTCGGTCCAATGGTCCATTGATCTAACTGTGCAACGGTTGCATCCGTGCAAACGATTCGTTTCGAATCGACGATCCCGCACGGGTCTTCGACGTCTCCACGCGGCGGATATCGAGGCCGTCGCGATTCAACCCGCTCCGACGTTCCCGCCGAGTGGCGAATTTTATAAGGATGTCCGATAGAGGAGACTGAATGGAGGTAACGCGCGAAAGGAGAGATGCTTTGTGGACGGGGCGGACGCGGTTGAATAAATCGCGACGTTAACGTGGCACGTTAAATTGGCGTTTCCGTAGCGAAACGGGGACGCCATTCGGAGAGGAGAGCAGGCCGTGCCATTAGAAATTGCGCATTATTCGATTACTCTCGTTATAGAACGAAGGGCATCTGGCGTTCTCGAAAGAACTCGAGGAGCACTTTAGAGGGTTCCCAGGAACATCCCGAATGCGAGTACGATCGATCGAGAATATACTCTCTCGTGCAAATTCGGCGAGGGACCTTTTTCTTTTTTGGAACTGAAAGGGGTGGAAGAGACTCTGACTGCTAGGGGAAATGGCGCGCGTTTCTCGTATCGTTTCGTTAAATTTTCAGGCGTTCTCGAGGTGTTCCTCGAATCGGCTAGCTATCTTTGATCGGGATATTCGGATGGCGCGCGATATCGACGACGAGCGTTCTCCTCGTGGCTTAACGTGGAAACGGGCTGACCGTCTTTGGCCCGTAAACGTGCTCGAAATTCTTAAAGTCGAAAACGCTGATCACAGCTGAATAGAGAATCAAGGCCCGGCTGAATAGGATGCAATCTCGCGGCGGCGATGCTCTTGGCCCGAGGTATCGAGCGCGTGCTGCAAGGCACGCAGCACGCGACGAAATGCACGGATGTCCTGGCAGTGTATCCTTGTCGCGAGTTATTGCATTACCGGCTACCTTGATTGCACTTCCCTACGACGAGAAGCCACGCACGTAGCAGGATCCTGGTCGCAAAAGTCTCGGCTAATGCAGTTAATTAGCCCCAGCGGCACGTTATATGCTCGCGTCGGCCATTAACGAGCTCTCTCTCTCTCTCTCTCTCTCTCTCTCTCTCTCTCGCTCGCGAAACGCTTCGGGACCGTGGCATCCTGCCTCGTAGGCGCGTACCTTCTCCTCGGATAAAATCCGTTTCGATTCTCCGCTAGCCTATAATCGCCGGGACTTTACCTGGCACGTCGATCGCGTATGCCCGTTCGCGTGTTTCGTCGCGGTGACACGCGGCGAAATCGATTGTATCCTCCCCGGTAGCGAGGCGGTGTATGCCGTGGCAAACGCGTGCCCGATAACCCGCTTTGAGTTTCACTCGTCGGCTAACACCTTTCATCTTGCGTGCTTTGCAGGTTGGCAGCGCAAGAGGCGGCACAAAGGGACCCTGGATACGCGAGTCAGTACAGGAGAAGGCCGAGGTTGGCCGGACTGAGTGGTCTCGGTGACTGGACTAGCTTTGGAGGGGAGGTAAGAAACATCGGCACAAACGCGTTTTCCACGATTCCACGATTCCACGACTCGCCGTGTCACTCGCGATCGCCCTGTTCTCGGAGGTAGGTATCGCGTGGCAGCGAGGAAAAATGCAATTTCCCCGCGGCTGTCTGTTGGCGTAGAATTTGCGCGTTACGTGGCAGGAGGGAAAGGCGAAAGGACGACGAAGAGGGGAAAAGGAAGAAATTTGGAAGCGAGTGACACGGTGTCGCGGTGTCGCGGCGGTTTGCAGAGCGCGGAGACAAGGGGACACTCGGCGCGGGAAGAAGAGGAGAGGAGGGTGGATTAAAGGGGAGGAAATTGCGAACAGGTACCTGGTCTGGTGGACATGGCGCCAGGCCGGGATCAGGGCGGAGGGGCGGGTGGCGGTGGGGGAGGCGGCAAGGGCACCACGTCGTTGTTCATCCTGTCGGAGGATAACTGTATCAGGAAGCATACCCGCTTCATAATCGAGTGGCCGCCCTTCGAGTACGCCGTCCTGCTCACCATCATCGCCAATTGCGTGGTCCTCGCCCTCGAGGAGCACCTGCCGAAGCAGGACAAAACCATACTCGCGCAGAAGCTCGAGGCCACGGAAATCTACTTCCTCGGGATCTTCTGCGTCGAGGCGAGCCTCAAGATCCTCGCCCTTGGCTTCGTCCTCCACCGTGGCTCCTATCTGCGCAACATCTGGAACATCATGGATTTCTTCGTCGTGGTGACCGGGTGAGCGAACCGTTTTCTATTCTCTACGCTCTAACGAATCTCCCCTTTTGTTCTCCCCGGAACTTCCGAGAAACGCGAGGTCCTCGCCTTTCGCTCTTTCTCGCGGTCTACCGGGTCTCTGCCGAAACGGCCGACTCGATCGATCTCCACGAGATCTAGAACAACAGAGCCCGGAGAGAGAACTCCGAGAGAGAACTCGGGAAAGCGTGGTCCTCCGTGTCGTCGGTGGAAATTCGCATTCGACTCATCCACTCGAGTTACACACTTGCCCAATGTGTACTTTCGTTTCCCGCTATTTTTCTCGTTACTTTCTTTCACCGCGCGAGAACTCGCTCGTCGTTTCATTCTCCATCCCTCGTCTTCTTCTCCTCCGTGTAAACCAACCACGCGTTTTCTTTCTCTCGTTTTCTCTCGCTCTTTCTCTCGCTTTTCCTCTCGCTCTCTCTCTCTGTCCGTCATTCGACGAAAATGCACACGGCGCATTTCCGTTCTTGGAACGATGCGCAGAGCGAGGCAGACACGCGGAGAGGAAGACCGGTGGACGAGGAGAATGAGAATACTTTTGGTCAGGCTTTGATCGACTTTCCACCGCGTTTGCCGATCATTTTCGCGCTAAACGACCACCTCTTGTTCCCCACACCCCCGATTACGCTCGCCCCGAGGAGCCCCGTTTACGGAGAAAGCCTTTCCCTGTCGTTCGCCGCGTCTCGTGGCCATTTTCGGCACGATCGTATCGATCGATCGTCGATCGTGGGGCACGGACGGAACGGGCAGAGGGGAAAATCGCGTTCTCGACGCGGCGACGACCGCCGAAAGGATCTTTCTCCGGACAGATTTAAGATTTAAGGAGATCGCACGTCGATCGGTTTTTTTCGGCCGAGCAGATAGATTCTAGAGTAATCCTTGGATTAGGTCGATGACCGTGTTCGCCGAAACAAACGTGGACGTCGACCTGCGTATGCTACGTTCCTTCAGGGTCCTCAGACCGCTAAAGCTGGTTTCGAAAATTCCAAGTGAGTCAGTCACAGTTCTGCGAAACGGCAAACGATACAAACGCCATAAGTAACAGTACAGAGTGCAGTAACAGAGAACAGTCGAGCAGCAGATTGATAACTAACTAACTAATCCCCCGTTGTTCCTGGCAGTTTGTGTGCGTTCGACTAGTCTCCTTAGTTTTAAACGTTTCTTGATTAACCAGACACACTTAGTTTCGTCGACCATTTAGTTTTTCTTTCAATTACTCTTTCTCTCTTTCTCTCTTTCTCTCACTTTTTCTCTCTATCTCTCTTTCTTTCTCTCTCTATCTCTTTCTCCTTATCTCTGTCTATCTATCTCTATTTCCGTCTCTATCTCTGTCACTCTCTGTCTCTATCTGTCTATGTCTTTCTTTCTCTGTCTCTCTTGCTTTAGTTGACACGTTGGGTCGACGTTTAGTCCTGGCAAGCGAGACCAGCATCAGCTAACTTACGATATCTGCGTATACTTGACACCTATATATATATATGAGTTCGTCTTTCTATTACGAATCTTTGCCTTAGTTTCTATCCTTTTAGTTTCCTTATTTAGTTCTCCCGTTTAATACGTTTTCACGTCGTTTAAGCGTTCCGTTTTTTATCGTTGATTGACCACCACTTAGAAGCTATGGGTGTATTAGAACAGTTGATTGACGCTAGATGATCGTTGGCAGTTGATGATCGATATTAATTGAACATAATATCTATATATTCTGTGTCCACGTGGTTTGCGTAATTCGAGTGTCTTATACATTATATATATATATATATATATATATATATATATATATATATATATATATATATATATATATACATATCTATACGTATTATTACATTCTACTGTCTCTATAGAGAACTTGCGTGAACTAGTCGCTAGTGTTATATTGCGTTACTATTTGCTCTATCTACTGTCGTGTTATGTTCAGTTTTGTGCACACGTTATTCGTACTTTTAGAGAGTTTCAAAGTCGACGAATTATACACACGCACACACGCATACGTACACTACACGAACCGCGTCGAAATCGTTGGCAAAATCTTTGGCCATTCGCATGAACGCGGGGAAAGCTTGCCGGACGCGTGGCGAATTTTCATTCCCGCGATATCTTTAACACCGCGTTCGCGTTTTTCGCTCGTACGCTGCTCACGTAGCCAGTCACGTACGGGTGTATCGAAAATTTCGAGAAAATACTTCGCTCGGACGCGCGGCGAAGAGAACCGGCGCCATATTTGAAAAAGGGAAAAATTTATTTCCCTCCGTAAACGATGACTACGATTTTCTTTCTCTTTCTCTATTTCTTCTTCTTCTTCTTTTTTTTTTTTCTTTTTTCTTCCCTTTCTTCGTATCGGAGAAGTGAAAATTGTCGCGCATACACACGGACACGCACGCACGAGCATACACACGAGTGCACACAAAGACACGAAACTACTGGCCTGCAGGTGTCTCTATATTTAGCAAACTCTATCTTTAGCCACAGTCACTGATTGATAGAATTGACTATACGTTGGTAAATAGGTACGTGTTCTAGAACAGTAACGTATTCGAGCAAGCTCGTGTTTGCTAGAGAGTGGTACCTTTAGACACCCTCGAGAGACTGAGTCATATAGTCCTACAGACTTTTAGACTCCGACCGAGATATCCTCTCTCCTTTCGATCCACTCGAAGATTCTCCTCTCCCGCGATCATTCCGGTACACCCATTGGCGTATGCAAAAGCAAACGAAAAAAAAAGAAAGAAAAATTCGGAATTTTCTCGCGAAAAGAAACCGGAAAAAAGGAAAAAAAGCTAAATTAATTACGAAACAATCTATCGAACGTGAAATCAATTTTTCTTCCACGCTGACGAAGACTTTGCGGGGAATGCAAACTGTCCAGTATGGAAAACTGTCCCGTCCAGCTTTCTAATTTGCATAGACATCTGGAATAGAGCGACGTATCTTAGATGTCGCGTAATCATAGTTATATTTAGGACGCTAACGCCAACGACGATCCGTCGTGGTCGTTCACGCGCCGATATGCCGCGTTTATTTTCTATTTTTTATTCCGTTATTTTTAACAAAGCGTCGCGAGACGTGGAATCCGTGGAACGATACACGGACGGTTTGGTGACCGATCGAGGAGAGGACAACGGCGGGCTTTATACCAAGGGGTTGAACGACCGCGATGGATGTTACCGTTTATTATCTTCGTGGAACTAGAGTTATAGTTAGCAGGATTATATTCAACCGGCATCTAGAATTAGAATCTCGCGTGAGTAACTTAATAAGAATTCCCTCTCTATCCAGAACGCCGCGGGACCCTTTTGGGAAAAGAAATCGTTAAACGTTAATCTCTTTGCCGTAGTTGCTCCATTCCGTCGGCCCGTCTGCGCGCTTTCGATATTAAGCCGAATCGATTTCCTTTTCAAACCCGTTTTCTGCCCTTCCGCGACGACAGCCCGAGAAAAAGGGTAATCCAGCGATGCGCTGATTCGATAAGCTAATCCGCCGGTGTGTGTGTGCGAGAATCGAGGGGACGAAACTCGGGGTCCTTTATCCCCGGTTTTCGATCGCGCGACCGGGGGCCAGAGGCGGCTCTCTGACCCGCGGCAAACTCCGGGAATTTTCGGTGGAAAGGAGCATAATCAGATTTGAGAATCGTCTCATTCGGCTGGTACGTAATACGGCTTTGCTTACCCGGTCGCAATTTCGAGCATAGCCCCGACGTGGAGACGCCGGTCGTGTTTCAAGTCGCCTCTCGTAGAAATTCGTCCCCACTACCCCTGCCGTAGAGGTACGACCTAGTTTAGAAAAGGGCTGATCTTGGACGATGGTAGGTATGGAGTGTACGTGTATGCTGAAATAAAATTGATTTCGTATCGTATCGAGAAGAAACGATGCGACGTAAACGCATCGCTCCCGACGAGCTTCACCCCCCGATTAGACATTCTCCCATCTCCCATCGGTTAGGTCATAGAACGCTAGTTACCACATAGTTGTGTAGCTTAAGTACTTAAGTAGCGTGAGTATTAGTGTAATAGAGTAGTAAGTAGTAAAGTGTGGCGGGGTGTGTGTGTTTTGGGGCAGGTTCATCACGGCGTTCTCGCAAGGCATAGAACTGGATATGGATCTGCGCACGTTGCGTGCGATACGCGTGTTGCGACCGCTCAAACTTGTCTCCGGCATACCGAGTGAGTAGCGTTTCAATACAGTCGGCCATGAAAAATGTTTCTGCCGAATCGAACGAAACGACCTCGTATTTTTGTCTATTTTTTTTCTCACTCTCTCTCTCTCTCTCTATCTCTCTCTCTTTCTCTCTCTTTCTCTCTCTCTTTCTCTCTTTGAAATCACGCGCGTTCGAGTCTCCAGTAGCGTCCTCGCGATCCGAGACGCGGATATTTTCCGAGCCATGACAAAGTTGGCCGATGTTCGATCGAACGAAAAGTGAAGTAGATTCGATTCCGTTCGGTGTACGGAGCGAGCTAATTTTTCGTATCGCAGATAGAAACGTAGCGAACGCGGAAACGCGAGGCTCGGTGCTCGAGGAACGCGCGTTCGGTCCAGGCTGAATCTGCAATTCGGATACTTCGTGGATCGACTCGGATTCGTTGGATCGAAACGTCTCCGTTTGTCGATAGCTGCTACGTAGATTCGATTACGAGCCAAACCGACGACCATCGATTCGGCGTGTAAAGCTCGTAGATCGGTGTAGTATTAATATTATTGCAAGTATATATTTCTATATCTATATATATATATATCTACACGTAGATGCCTTGCAACGTTAGAACGATTATTTTGTTTACGTAGCACCACCCAAATAGATATATATCTTTTGAAAGTTGTATGCTGTGTCCACGTAAACGACAACAACGAAGTATCCCAATTGTTTAGCCGCGACGGTAGACCCGATTTTGCCCGATCGGGAATACATTGGCGCGATTTGCTCCGTCGAATGGGAGCCGTTGAAGCACGCGAAACGACGAGACGCGCGTTTCCACGAGCAGCGAGGAGGATAAGAAACGCGAAATGAGTCGAGTAAAAAGACACGTGAATGGCTTGGAGGGCGCGGTGGTTGGGCCTAATTATACTCCTGTCGAATCTTTCTCCGAACAGGTCTCCAGGTGGTGCTCAAGTCTATTATCAAGGCAATGGCGCCGCTTCTGCAGATCGGCCTGCTGGTACTCTTCGCCATCGTGATATTCGCCATCATCGGCCTCGAATTTTATTCGGGAACCCTGCATAAAACGTGTTACAGCATCAGGGATATCAGTGAGTAAATGCCTCGTCGCGGTGCTAGAGAGAGAAGCGCCTCTCTTTCGTTCGAGACTCGTAATTCGTAACACCGATGGCGGATGGAAAGAACGAACGAAGGAGACTCGAGATCCTGGCTGCCGAACGGAAGCCGTCGGTCTGACGTTCCCTCTGTTGCAGATCAAATCGTGAAGGAGGGCGAACAGGCCAGCCCGTGTAACACGGACAACAAATCCGAGGCGCCATTCGGGGCCCACGTGTGCAACCCGGACGTCTCGACGTGCATGGATCACTGGGAGGGACCAAACTACGGCATCACCAGCTTCGACAACATCGGATTCGCCATGCTCACTGTCTTCCAGTGCATCACTATGGAGGGCTGGACTTCCATATTGTACTGGGTAAAGCAAGAGATATGTCCTTCAGTGTTAAAACTCTCTGTTTCTCTTTCTCTCCCTCTCTTTCTCACAAACACACACGCTCTCCGTATACGTCCATCTCCTTCGCGTTCACGTGGTTCCCTCCTTCGCGTTCCGTTCAGTCACCCCTTCCTGCCCCCTTTTCCACCCGATTCTCTATCGAAACCCTCGTCACCTGTCCGCGAACGACACCCCGTTTTCCAAGCAAGGGCAAACGACCGAACGTTCGTACGTATCTTCCCTCCCGTTCTCTGTGTCCTCTCAGTCTCTGCGTAATATGTATACGTATACCTCCTTCGATCGCTTGCCATCGTCCGGCTGTTTTGTGACACGTCTGTTCGAATCTCTAAATGTGACCATCCCCCGTAACTGTCTTCCTCCCTGTCGATCATCCCTCTCTGTGTAACCTCCTTTATTTGTCTCTTTCTTTATCTCTGTGTCTGCCCGGTCACGTCTCGCTTCTTTCTCGAAGAGAAGTGCTTGCGGATGTTTTACAGCTAACACTGACCTACATGTTCACCTTGCTCAGTATAACACTGTCAGTTTCAGCCCTCTTTGCAAATCTCGATGTTATTTTCTTCAAAAATTCCAGTCTTTGCGAGCTTCGTTCGCCGCGCTGCCGGAACCCGAGGAACTTCGAGTCAAGCCTAGGATCTCTCGAATTTCTTCGATCCGCGCGCGACGATCGATGTCTTCGATTTCGCGGTTCGATGGGAGTTATTCGTTTTCGCCAATTTGTAACACGCGTCGAAGCACGTGAACGAGAAACGGCACTGCGTGCGGAGTCTCTGTTGAATTCGCGGGAAATATTTCTATGTCCCTTATCGGAATCTACCGGCTGCCAAGGTGCGCGACTCGTGGTTGGTAGTCCTGCACGATGAGCGAACGAGTCACGGAGCGCGTGGCTTGGCTTTCGACTCGATGGATTCTAAGAACGGGACAAGTTTCGGTGCCGTTTCTCGAAACGAAAGATCAAGAATGATCCGGATGATCTAGGGGATCGATTGCCGAGGCGAAACGACGTGAAAAATTGGGGGAAGGGAGCGGGGAGCGACGCTTTAAGTGTCTAGATGTTGTACATGTCGCGTGCCGATGATGTTTGGTCTCGATCATCCGCGATCGACGCGAGTAACAGCTATGTGGAATCGGTGGCTCGCGCTCGCACGCGTAACACACGGGCTTCACGTGGCTCTGGTCAAATTTGCAGACAAACGGCGCTCTTGGCAGCACGTACAACTGGATTTACTTTATACCATTGATCGTCCTTGGCTCATTCTTCATGCTGAACTTAGTTCTCGGTGTCCTGAGCGGGTGAGTATCTTTATTCTCGATTCTCGCGCCATTTTTGTACCCACATTGCGACACTTTGTCTCCTCCGGTTTGCGATCGAGATACGCGAGATATTGCTGACAAATCCGCGAGGCTCGCGTCGTCGAATCTCGTGGTTTCGTCACGACCAGATTGCAACGAATCGGACGACGAGGTCTGGCGGATTTGTCGATCGGAGTGCGTCGACCCATCGCCGGGTCAGGTGCTCGCGATTCGAGCAAAAGGACGGCCGATTACCTTTCTTTCTGTTCGTCAGGGAGTTTTCGAACGAAAGAACACGCGTCGAGAGGCGGGCGGCTTATCAGAAAGCAAAGAGAAAACGTCTATTCACGACTGCGTTCAGTGCCTACTTAAAATGGATCACTCAAGCAGGTTTCGAAACGATCGATCTTACCCTTAAGTTTATCGCGCTAGTCTATCCGCTCGCTGGCGAGTGCGCCAGTGGCAGTAGAACGGCCAGAGTAGCGCGCGACACGCTGCGTATCGCCAGTAGTACAACCTCTGATTTATCCTCCGACGCTCCGTATATCGCGTTGCGCGTAACGCTTCGCGTAGAAAATGCTCGCTAGATAGAGAGTACGTCGAGTGGGATATTTGCCAGAGTATCGCGCGTGAAAGGAAAAGGAAAAAGGGGAAAAGGTAGAGGAGTATTTATATAGAAGCGATCCCTTATCGCCCACGTAATACCCCTTTATCATCTGTATAACGCTTGTAGAGAGTTTGCGAAGGAGAGAGAGAAGGTGGAGAACCGGCAGTCCTTCCTGAAATTGCGAAGACAGCGGCAGCTCGAGCATGAACTGTACTGTTATCTGAATTGGATCTGCAAAGCAGGTTAGAAAATCAACATGCCAGCTATGTACGCCGATTATCGATCGGGCACCCTTTACCGCTAACGTCTCCTTAGGCCAAACTCTCGTAACTTTGTCCTTTTTTTGGATCAGTAATTTCACGCATCGTTTCACGATAGGGCGTTTTATTTTTGAATCCTTTCCCTCCCGCTCGAGCGAGTTTGCTTTCGTCACCCTTCTCGCTTGTTCCGTGCACGGAGTAAACGTCTGGTTGTTGTTTGTAGAGGAGGTAATACTCGCGGAAGAAAGGACCACGGAAGAGGAGAAGAAGCACATATTGGAAGGTTCGTGGCTAGGACTCGTTTCAAATTTCTCCGAAACGGAGAAGCTTGGAACGCGCGAGGTGATAAAGGGAAAAAGCGTACGTCTGTTTGCAGGAAGAAAACGAGCCGAGGCGAAGAAGAAAAAGCTCGGCAAGAGCAAAAGCACGGACACGGAGGAAGACGAAGGCGATGACAACCAGGAGGACGGTGAGTCGTATTTTTCCCGTTTAACCACCTACTCGCGCGTTATCCTGCCACCTCCTTTCCTCCCTCCCATTCGGCCGAGGATCTCTCATCGTGCCCCTTGGCGGAGAGAGTCCATGTTACGACCATCGTTCGCTCGTTCCTTCGTCAAACCGAGTTCATGGAATTAACGAACGTTACACGCCATCTTTCCTTTCCACGATCGTCGTCCGTTCGTGCGAGGACGAGGGTGGATCGTTGGTTCGAAACATCGACTCGCTTTCTGTTTCACTTCGAAATCTCCCTCGGCGTTACTTACTATCGGCACACGTTTTGCATATTCACCTTCGTCGGCATTCTAATCGACGCGTTAATAAATCAAGATCGGATGGTCTCACGAGTAACATTTACGCTTCTCCCCCTCGCCGTTCGAATCGGGCGAGAGAAGGATCACGATCTATTCCTTCGTATATTTATCGGTTAAAGTGGTTGCGGTGTCATTCTCACCTTCGCCGCTAGATGGATTATTCCAGGTTCAAGGAGGTCCGAGGATCTTCTCGCAAGTCCTTGGTAAACCCTTCGCTTCCTGGATATAAAGCTTCCAAACTTTCCAATAGTATGTAGGGGGTACTCCCCCATGGTAGTTGAATGTCGACCGGTCGCAGGTATCCTCGATGTGGCGGTGGTGCTAGAAGGGACGAAAGGAAAAGGAAAAGGAAGGGACGCGTCTCGTCCTGGGCCTGCTAGTGGACTCGTAGGATACTATTGGATACCATTGAAAGGTCTGGAAGTTATATGTATAGGAAGCGGAGGTTTTCCTTCTTTTCTCTTTAAAGTTGGGATCCATCTGGTGGCGAGGATGAGAATCGATGGTCGCTACAAGTATAAAGCAGGGGGCCTGCTAGGTAACCTTACCAATGGGGTCCACTAGCAGCCTCGGAACGAAACTCGTCCCTTCTAGTACCACCTGTACATCGAACATATACCTGTCACAACAAACCAACTTGAACAATCGTGAGGGAGGACCCCCACAAAGCGAAAATACGCAACGACGCGCAGACGCGAGATATGGAAAAGATATGTCGCCCGTTCTAAGTCCTAAGAACACCCAAGTCCTAGGGATCCTCGAAGAGGCGTAGAATTGTTCCAAATATTCTAATAGCGGGCCGCGTGTATAATCGTCGAAGAGCTTGCTCGTGGGACGATCCGACTGATCCTTCTGATTTCTGTTTTAATAATGTGTCCAGCGACGCATTAATTCCCTCGACCACGGCGACGAACATTCTAAACACACGCTATCAGATGCTCCTCTTGTTTCAGTGCCTAAGAAAAAACTGAAAGGTAACTACAACCGTCAGTGTCACGACTCGCAAAGAGCAACGTAAACGAGGCTGTATTCGTAACTTCTTTTCGTATCTCTTTCCATGTGTTTTCCGTTCCAATCGTCCTTTCGTTTTACTTATACGTCACACGTATCACGCATACCAACACGCTCGCGGACACACGCGTACACGAATCCGCGCGTGCACACCTGGCGCGTCGAAATCGTCATCTTTAAACGAAATGAAACGAAATGAAACGAAATCATCGACAGAACACTCTGAAATCAAATCGAGACGGGTAGCAAAGACGAATTCGATCACGATCGCGTAACGGTCAGTATCAGCTAACACTCGCGCCATAAACTCGCACGGGGATCGTTTCTGCGACTCGAGGAACGCTGTGCGAACGCTTAGTCGATTTTGCCGCGGCGCGTGCTTGCCGCATTCGGACCGAGTAATTGTCACGTAGTTAAAGTACTTACGTACGTACACGCATACACCGGTGAAAAAGCAGCGTAATTATCGCGATTACGAAGAAACGCAAACGCAACGGAGCTGCCAGTATCGCGTATATCGCGCGTCACGGATCGACTCTCCGATCGATTTTCGGCTGCGAAATTCCGCGTCGGAAATTAACTCACACCGCGACGAAACGAGACGTCAGTTCGTTTTATCTTCTTTTTCTAGGAATTGCTTCTGTTGGCTGGTGTGATTACGTATACTTGTATCTATCTGTGTTTATTAACCCTTTGCACTCTGTTGTCGCTGCTATGGCGACATTGTAAGATAGCCTGTAACTCCGTAGAATTTAAAATATCGTTAGACAAAATTCGCAAAACACAGTGTTACTATATATTTACCGATAAATGTTATGCCAGTGTACCTTTGGCGAAAGAACCGATAAAAATGAAACGCTACTTGATCGGTAAACATTGCACTATAAATGCTAAAAGGTAAGGTAAAATGACTCGGAGTTGCTGGTGGGTCGTATTAAAAATTGCTCAGAGTGCAAAGGGTTAATCGGCCGAGGGCATTCGCGATTGGTCTTTGTCGGTGCACGTATACCAAACTGTTAAAGGGGATATTATGCAAGGAATAGTAAACTGTGGAAAAACTGTGGAGAAACTGTGCATATGTTTATTCGACGGGCGAATGGTCAGGACAGAACTGTCCAGGGCCTCGCAGATCGAAAGTCGTCTTAGGAGACTGGTGACGAAAGACTGATAAGAGAAAAGATAGAACATTGGGGGAAGAGATCATCGTCCCCACACCGCTGGATCGTAGAGTTTGTTTCTCTATTGAATTTGACCATAACGCAAACACGCGAAGATGACCGTGTATACGCTTGCGATAAACGCGTGAATCGCGAATGTCCCAGGCGAATGCGTACCCACGTGGTCCAGGTACGTCCAGCAGTGGAGGAGTACCGATTTACGTGTCAGTAGTGTTCGGCGAGAAATCTGTTTGACGAGATAGAGCGCTGAAGGAACTCGTGTTATATCGTAGCGTTCGATCGTCTAGTCGTAGATTAGCTCCACGCATCGTCGGTCCAGAATAGATAGAAACGCTTCTTAGAGTAACTCCTTAGAATAGATGTGTCTCTGTCTACTGTATGTGTATGCCAACTGATCGAATCGGGCGATGGAGGGAAAAAAGAAAAGGAGAGACAAACGGATGTTCCGGTCGAACTTTGTGGAATCTATCGGTAACGAGAGTCATGGAAGAAACTTTGGAATCGAAAGTCGATATCGAAACAACGAATACCGGCAAACTTTCGACGTCCATCGACGTAACGTTCATTTCCCGGATAATAATTTGCTGTGCCGCGTTAGAATATTATCGGGAAAGCGTTAGTTCGTACGTCAGTAACGAGGCGCGTCACGATCTCGCGAGTAAATTCATTGAAAATATTCGTCGATAGTGTTCGAGAGAGAAAACGAGAAAAAGAAAGAAGGGAAAAAATTGCATCGGTCGACTGGCATCGAAAAGATGCAAAGCACGTGCAGCGGGAGAATCGCGACTGAAACGTTGGACTTGCGTTTTATAGGGTTCTCTGGGTCCTCCTCGACGAAGGAAAAGGGACCCTGCAAGCAGTTCTGGCTGGCCGAGAGAAGATTCAGGTACTGGATACGAAAGTCTGTAAAGTCGCAAAAATTCTACTGGTTCGTCATCGTTCTCGTGTTCTTCAACACCGTCTGCGTAGCCGTGGAGCATTACGGTCAACCGCAATGGCTCACCGACTTCCTCTGTGAGTATACGTCATTTCATACGCTAAAGCGTTTGTAAATCGTTGTAAAGCATTTGTACGAAAATTTACTAAAAGTTACTAAAATCGCATTCTCACGTTGACAGACTTCGCGGAGTTCGTGTTCCTGGCTCTGTTCATGTTGGAGATGTTCATAAAGGTGTACGCGCTCGGTCCTCGCACATACTTCGAATCGAGCTTCAATCGTTTCGACTGCGTGGTCATCTCGGGATCGATCTTCGAAGTGATCTGGTCCGAGGTGAAGTCCGGCTCTTTCGGCCTCTCCGTCCTACGTGCCCTTAGACTCCTGCGAATTTTTAAGGTCACCAAATACTGGAAGAGCCTGAGAAACCTCGTAATATCGCTGCTCAGCTCGATGCGTAGCATCATCTCCCTGCTCTTCCTGCTCTTCCTCTTCATTCTCATATTCGCGCTGCTCGGTATGCAGCTGTTTGGCGGCCAGTTCAACTTCGATTACGACACACCGGCCACCAACTTCAACACCTTTCCCATCGCGCTGCTCACTGTCTTCCAAGTAAGTTTCACTTTTCATTCCTCTCGAGTTTTCATTCCTCTACCGATTGTGTCGATCTCCACGATTATTCGAAGGCAAAAGAGTACGCGGGATATGGCCTTTCCTTCGAATCGCGGTTATTAGATGGAGTAGATAGTAATGCAATTCGTGGATGAGATATCGATTTATTTGACAATTGGTTGCCATTCGATCGACTCACGCAGATCCTGACCGGAGAAGATTGGAACGAAGTGATGTACCAGGGTATAGAATCGCAAGGCGGTCACAAGAAGGGCATGATCTACTCGCTCTACTTCATCGTGTTGGTGCTGTTCGGCAACTACACTCTGCTGAACGTGTTCTTGGCTATCGCCGTCGACAATCTGGCAAACGCACAGGAGCTGAGCGCCGCCGAGGACGAGGAGCAAGAAGAGGACAAGCATAAGCAGGCACAGGAGCTCGAGAAAGAGATCCAATCCTTGCAGAATCCTAAAGACGGTGGCGCGCCCAAGGTAGAAATCCGCCCTCCGAGTCCGAACCAGAATTTGTAAGTTTTCCCTAGCTCCCTTGTACCTGGACGTCGTCGATAGACCTGGCGTTCTAACGCGGATACCTTTGAATTTTAGCAAAGACGGAAAAGGTGGAAAACAGTCATCCGAAGAAGAGAAAAAGCAGGATGAAGACGATGACACGGGACCAAAACCAATGCTGCCATACTCCTCCATGTTTATACTGTCCCCTACGAATCCGTAAGTAGCCAATCGAGTTTGTCACGCTAGATAGAGATCGGATGGATAAAACGTGTTCGATGGATGATCGCAGCGTAAGAAGAGCCGCCCATTGGGTCGTCAACCTGAGGTATTTCGACTTCTTCATAATGGTGGTGATATCGCTGTCGAGTATCGCGTTGGCTGCCGAAGATCCCGTATGGGAGGACTCGCCGAGGAACGAGGTTCTGAATTACTTCGATTACGCGTTCACCGGTGTCTTCACCGTCGAGATGATACTAAAGATCATCGATCTCGGGATCATCCTACACCCGGGCTCGTATCTGCGCGAGTTTTGGAATATTATGGACGCGGTGGTGGTGATATGCGCCGCGGTGTCGTTCGCCTTCGACATGACCGGTAGTTCGGCTGGACAAAATCTCTCGACGATCAAGTCGTTGAGAGTGCTGCGTGTACTCAGGCCGTTGAAGACGATCAAGAGAGTGCCGAAGCTGAAGGCGGTCTTCGACTGCGTGGTGAACAGTCTTAAAAATGTCATTAACATTCTCATAGTGTATATATTGTTCCAATTCATATTCGCTGTGATCGCGGTGCAGCTGTTCAACGGCAAGTTTTTCCACTGCAGCGACGAGAGCAAATATACGGAACAGGATTGCCAGTGAGTATCGAAATTCCGCGTTGTTTGCCGGCTAAACTGATGCCCGAGGTATGCGGTGTATCGTAACGATCGTTCTTTTCTCTATCCGATCGATGGAAATGGAATTCTAATTACTTTTCGCTCTGTTCTCCGATCTGTCCGTCGCAGGGGTCAATATTTCGTTTTCGAAGAGGGCGCCCTGTTGCCAGAGACAAAGAAACGGGAATGGCAGTCGCAGTTTTTTCACTACGACAACGTGATGGCCGCGATGCTGACGTTGTTCGCGGTGCAAACTGGCGAGGGCTGGCCACAGATCTTGCAGAACTCGATGGCGGCCACGTACGAGGACAAGGGCCCCATTCAGAATTTTCGTATAGAGATGTCCATTTTCTACATCGTCTACTTCATCGTATTTCCATTCTTCTTCGTCAACATCTTCGTGGCCTTGATTATCATCACTTTCCAGGAGCAGGGGGAGGCCGAATTGCAAGATGGCGAAATCGACAAAAATCAGGTTGGTTGGTCGCGGAGTTTTAACTAGGCCGATGCATCGATCGCGCGCTACCGAGAAGCTAGTAGGTTGTTTAACGCTAGCGCAAATTGGGCTAGAACGAAACGAGTAGGGAGCGAGCAGCAACGGAGAAGGCGGCTAACCGATTCGCATAACCGATTTCTTCCTTTCAGAAATCTTGCATAGACTTCACGATACAAGCTCGCCCGCTGGAGAGGTACATGCCGAAAGAGCGAAACAGTATAAAGTACAAAATCTGGAGAATAGTGGTATCGACGCCGTTCGAATATTTTATCATGGGTCTCATCGTATTAAACACAGTACTGCTCATGATGAAGGTAAGCGTCAACGATTCGTTCGTTTGCTCCCCCCTCTATCTCTTTCTCTCCGAGAACGACTCGAAGAGAGAAATAACAGATTTTCTTGTGGACGTTACGCGCCTGATAACGCGCCTGATAACGCGCCTGATAACGCGCCCGACGAAGAAGACGCGAGCATCCTATTCGCGTACCCGTGTACATACGACGATTCGTGCTGTCCTCCACCCTCGAGAGGACGGGACACGGTTTCCTTGCCCGGTATATACTACTCGACGTTGTCGCGTTTCGTCGACAGTCTCTTGCTCGCGTTTGGCAATTTTAACCAATCGAAAAGCAGCCTAGCACGTGTATCACTCGTCGTTATCGACAAACGTGCACAATGGAGAGTTCGAAGCAACTGTAAGATATAACGTTATATCTGTACGAGGACATTGTTGTTCTTGCCTGCCAATTTATTTATTGTTCTCTGTATAATTGTCATCCTTGTATCCATTGATACGTGTACACAGCTGTGTTGAATACTCTTGTGTCTCCCTCTCAAACCGAAAGCTCCTTTTCTTCTCTCCTTCTTTCATCGTTTCTATTCCATTCGGAGCAGACTTTAGTTGAACAGTCGTGATTCACCGTGTGTCTCGATGCTTTTTATTCTATGCTCTTCCCCGTTCGTTCCAGAATCCAGACACTTTTATTTCCATGCCAGGCATGCGCGAGTGCCTCGACATCTTCCGGCAGACCACTCTTTCTCTCTCTCTCTCTATCTATCTATCTATCTATCTTTCTCTTTCCGTCACTCTCTTTCGGTCGTCCATTGAATTTGGAATCGGTTCAAATGGCTAAAGCCGATTGGATCTTCTATAGAAGTAGGTGCTTTTCAGATACACCGACCTCTTGTAATAGCAAGTGATCCAATCGGTTTCCCTCTCTCTCTCTCTCTCTCTCTCTCTCTTTTTTTCTCTCGAGCGCCGGAATTCGAAAGCGGTGAAAACTCGAGCGAGTATTTCGCGGCACTCGCGCTCTGCTCAATCCTGCGCAACCACGTCGGTCTTCTCCTCTAGCCTTTATCGAACGTTTCATTTCGCTTTCGACGATATTATTTTCCACCCCCTGTCCACGACCTCTTCGCCTTTCGTTTCGCTTCTTTTCATTCGATTATCGTTCCGTCCGATATCACCCCGTGTCCCGTAACCGCTTCGTATACTCCCAGTGGTTTTCTTCTGCTCCTCGCTCCTCGTCTTACTGCATGCCCGCTGCTGTGTCCTCGTCTTGATAGTAGACGTACTGGAAGATGCGTGGAAAAACGATATCGAATATCGATGCGTTTTCACGACCACACACACACCCACAGCCACACACACGACGTGCGTTCGACTCGTACGCCTCGACAAGCCCATGTTTGAACTGGTGGCGGGGTTCGAAGCGCTGCACAAGTACAAATGGCTTGATTCGATGAAAGACCAACGAGAATAGAAGAAAGAGCTACACGCTCGAAGGAACGAGAGAAAAAGCTGCGGCGTACAAGAGCCGGTGTGCACGCGAATTCGTCTAACCGCTCTCTTTCTCTCTCTCCCCCTTTCTCTCTCGTCCTATCTACCGTTTATCTCTCTCTCTCTCTCTCTCATTCTCTCTCCGTATTCTTTGTTTTCCTTGGACGCCGGGTCCGTCTGTCGCTGACACGATCCATCGTGTCCGAGTCTCGGTCCAGACTCGAGGAACGAACAGCGAGAGTCGACCAATCAAAAGGTCTCCAAGGAAACGACGCGCTTTTGCTCTCCAGATGGTCGGAGATACGCTGGATCGAAGAACTCGCGAATTCACCCTCTGCTCTTGCAGCGCTCGAACAACGCGATCGTAGAAGTTTGCAAAGGACGCACGCGACACCGTACAGCCATGCTTCTCGACTCGGTTAGTCGAGTCGTTCCACGCGATGTGGTTATACGTGTATGTACCCAGCTACCGGAAGTCGAAGCCACGCCAAGTGTTCGATCGTGTACACAGCATCGCTAGTTTTCTTTCTACTCTGTATTTTATTTTCCCCCGTTTTTTTTTTTTTTTTCCTTTCTTTCCCCCGTTTCACCTTTTCGTTGTCGAAACCACTGCCTGACGAACAACTACCCGCAAACTATGTCAGCGGTCCACCTTGCACATCATACTGCACATGGTCTTGAGAATGAAGCGCACACGAGTGGCACACCGGATACACGAGCGTCGGGACGAAGGAGTGACGAGACGGGGTGAGGCTGTTCGGGGACGATGGTGGAATTCTCGAGCTCGCGAGTTTCCCCATCTGGACGGCAAATCGAGGGAAGAGAGGACACGTCTCGGACACTCTCGTTCGTTCGGAGGCACGCGTGAACCGCCCCCGACACACGTAAACGCAGCACGTCACGTCCGTTTGTCCGTCACACGCGTGCTGAAATTGCGTGTCGCATGCTGGCTGCTCGCAACCGAAAGCAACTCGACCTCGTCGTGCCGTCGAGCGAGGCAAACACGAGAACTGTCCACTGAATGTGTGCGTTTGTTTCGACATACCAGAGACACGTTTTTCTTGCACGGGACGCCCGCACGATTTCATCCTCTTCCCCGCTCCTCGAAACTAAATAGACGAAAGAGGAAACGTTTTATAGTACCTCGAGCGGAGAGATTATTCTCGACACGACCTCCGCCCCTTCCTTTTTACGAACCTCCATCTTCTCTTTCTTTTCGTCGCGTTTTAGCTTCCTCCTCTTCGCCTTCTTCCCGCCTTTCGGTTCCCCATTCTTTTCGTCCCCCTTCGTCGTTTCTCTTTTTTCCCAACTACGATTCGCTCTTCCTCTGATTTATCACCACTCTTACTCTCTTCCAGACACCAAACTCTCTCTCTCTCTCTCGCTCTCTCTCTCTCTCTCTTTCTTTTTCTCTCTCTCTCTCTCTCTCTTTCTCTCTCGTATCTCTCCACCCAGGAACTGTTCCCGACGCGGACGACCGAGAGGAATGCGCAGCTGTCTCTACCGATGATTCGGACTTTGTTGCAACGTAAATCCGATCGAAGAGGAAAGGATCCTCTGGGTGCCCTTGGTCGTCGCGTCGCGCGCGATTAATCGTCGTTCGAACCCTCGATGTGCGTACGATTGATCGGTCGATCGAACGGCGAATGAAAAGAAGGGATGAAAAGACGGATGAAAAGGCGGTCGATCAGTCGTACCGATACGGAGATGCAATTTTTCGACGTTGTCCCGTTATAGAAGACGGGAAGGTCGCGGCGTCGCGACGCCCGGCTCCTATATAGCCGTGTGCACACACCAGCCCCACACTTGATACAGTACTCTGTAAAGCCGTCCCTCTCACTCGGCTGATATAAAAGAGGAAACAATCTCTTTAATGTCACCGTTACCGTACACACCCTGTGCGGTCGTACAGATACACGTATCTAGGTTAACGCTAATATTATACACCTATGTGTCTCCCTTTTTCCGTCGACTGCAAAGTCTCGCTATATATACCTATATATTTATACGTACATGCATATGTATATATAAATATATACACCGTGTAACTTACAGATTTCGCACTCTATTTTACACGTCTTTTATATATCTGTAACACCGCGTCGCGTCGGGGGGGCGGGGGGCGGGACCGTCCAGCGATACGCGACGCTTCGATCGCCGTCGAGATATCTCGAGCCCAGGGATGCTAAATTTACCACCGGTCTAAACTTGGAGCTCTTCGATCCTTGGTAGCGCGTGCAACGATTTTCCCTGCACCCTGTGTGCAAGGGTGAACCCGGATTACGCGCTCGTCGCGTAGAGAAGCGTGTCGATGGACGGGGCTCGCGACCGACGGCTCGTGGGGAGAGCTTTTCTCTTTCTCCGACAAGGTTGCTCTCTCTCTCTCTCTCTCTCTCTCTCTTTCTCTCTCTCTCTCTCTCTCTCTCTTCCGGCTTCGTAATTGCACGCGAAGAGAGACGTCGGAAGAAAGGGAAACGCGGTGGCTAGGGGGCGCAGTTTCCACCGCGTGGCTCGTTGTCGGGGTACGCGGGGGTTGGTAGGCTTGTACGTCCGTTTGTCTGTCTCTCTCGGCCGTGTGTTTGTCAGTGTATGCATTGCAGTTCCATCGGCAAAGCGACGCGTACAAGAACACGCTGAAGTACATGAACATGTGCTTCACGGGGATGTTCACCGTCGAGTGCATACTGAAGATCGCCGCATTCGGCGTCAGGGTAAGCTCCACTATACCAACAAACCCCAACTCCTCTCCCTCGTCGAACAGATTACCGAAAGAACGTACTCGCTTAGAGTAGCCGGCTCGAGCGTGATCGCTTCGAGCTAGATTCCCCTCGAGAAATGGTGCCTGCGACTCTTCCGTACCCCTAGTTAGTAGCCGAGTAACTCGAGTAACCAACGTGGTTTGCTCGAAACGCAACGATCACGTTGCATCCGGTAATCGGTATCATCGGTGTCGGGATCGGA